CTCCGGTTTCTGTGATAGGGTCTCAGTTCATGGCACCAAATCAATTTGATATTATAGTTGATATAATTACAACCGGAAACCTTGTGGTTACAGATATTGACCATAAAATCATGCTACAAGTGAAATCATGCGACACATCCTTTCATCAGCAGCGAGTGCTAGTTGATGCTGATGGCAAACCCATCGTTCTAACGCGCGGAAAGGTGACTTTAAGTTCAATTTTTTAATATATTTTTGTTGAAAATTTGATGCTAACTTTTAACATTGGTATGCACTAATTTATTGTCCAGATCATGAGTGAACACGATAGATGGAATGTATTCAGGGGTAACAGTAAAAGCAAATCGGATATGATATTTACCACACAATCAGCTCACATGATCCAGTTTAAGACCAATGTACAAGTGTTCTTGGCAAAAAAAACTGGTAAGAAGAATGTTTGTGATTTCAAGATCAGTGGAAGCTGGACGAACAGAAACTGCACTATTTATATGGGAGATACTTCAACACCAATAGCCCAAGTAATTTTCATATATATACCTTTTAGTTTTTTTTCTCATAAACTTAAAGCTTGAGCTGAAACTAATTAATGGATTTATTCTTGTAGATGTCTAAAATGCAATCATCGGAGGATGTAACGAACAAATTCATGGTGACCATTTATCCCAATGTGGATTATGCGTTTGTGGTCGTACTTATAGCAATCGTTGAGGTTATGAAAATGAATAACTCTGTCATAAAAGAAAAATTTGCTCGGGAAGTTATTGGAGGTTTGAGTAACGTTGTAGTTGGTGCGCTTCTTTTATAGAATTACTGGATGGATCAATGGTTTTACAGAATCATATATCATCTTTTCACATCGTGATGGAAATGGTATGATTACCAATTAAAACAAACACGATTTTTGATCCCTTAACTGTGTTAGAAGTACTTATAATCTAGACTTGTGTTAGAAATTACAACTGCATGTCCAGAATTAGTTAAACAACTATCCAATTCTATCAAACATTGTAACATAAATTAATATGTACAGGATGTATGTTTTCTATTTTGTAATATTTATGATGTTGTATTAAACATATTTTGTAGTAAATCGTAAATCCTCCTGTTGTTTTTACCCCTTACAGTCCACTTCGGTTTACTCTTTGTTTTCTCTTTTCTTTTGCAACAAAATGGTAGAGCAAGGTGTAGATGTGTGTTTCTCGAATAGAAAACAGAAAGTGAAAGCACATATCCAAATTGCAGAAAAACTATCCAAAAAAATCTTATTGGATGACTTCCAATAATTAGTTGAAAAACCTACCATAATTGGATATTTCACTGTATGTTTTGTACGAATCTGAAGATTTCTGGAACATATAAGAATGACATTCTCGAACCGACACTACTACAAACCGACACAATTGCTAAATGGTTATTTTCCCATAATGCACATATTATTGAATAAGTGTATATATACAATACAAACCCGTATGGGCCAAATACAAAATACAAATTGGCTAAATAATGGACAATAATACAACTAAGTATAATACAATAGGTATCCACTAACATCCCCCCACAATTTGATCGGGAGGATAATTCTGAATGTTCAAACTAGTCTTGAAGTAGTTGAAAACCTGCATCAGATGATCTTTCGTAAAGATGTCGGCGTATTGAGCGGATGATGAAACATGAAACACACGGACAACGCCTCGGGCAACCATATCACGAACAAAATAAATATCAATTTCTATGTGTTTCGTGTGCTTGTGTTGAACTGGATTAGAGGTCATGTACATAGAACTGACAGTAAATAAATGTGGCTTTTAAGAGTGGACACTGAAGCTCACGAAGAAAATTTTGTATCCAACAAGTCTCGACAGTGGCGTTGGTAACACCGCGGTACTCTGCCTTGGCACTAGACTGAGAAATAAGCCATGTCATTTCGAAGACCAAGATATCAAATCATCTCCAAGAAAGGCATGATATCCATATGTGGAGAGGAGTGAGATTGGGCATTCACCCCATTCGCCATCAGAGAAGACACGTAGGTCGAATGTGGGGGAAACGTGAAGTTGCAAACCATGATCCAATTAAAGATCCCCGAATGTAGCAAAGTATACGCTTTAGTTCATGAAGATGAGGCTCTCGAGGATCATGCATGAACAAACAAATTCCACTGCACTAAAAAAGCAATGTCCGGTCGAGGAAAAGGGAGGTACTACAGAGCTCTAGCAAGGCTACGGTAGAAATATGGATCTGTAACGAGAGTACCAATGGCATCCAACTTATGTGTAGTCTCAGCAGGCGTACGGTTGGATTACACTGAAACATATTTGCGCACTCTGGGATCTCTGATGCGCACTTCTTTGAGAAAGGAAGAGGTCGCGGGTAGTACATGTAACAGAGATCGCCAAGAAGTAATTAAGGTGCCAAGGTCAGTCATTGTGAACTCTCTGCTATGCTGATCAATAATGGACTAGAGAGGTGTGGGAGATGAGGCCATCAGAATGATGTTATTGGCATAATGTTATGGAGATGGAGTCTTTGGGATCAAACTAGAGAATCGATTCAACGAGTATCAACTTCTTAACCTCTTACATTTAATCAATGAAATGGGTATTGACTCTCAAGCGAGCTCAACGAGTCCTTCCATTCCAGAGATCCAACCATTTCGACGACTACGGTTTCTTCTCCGATGGAACCTGATGCATCAGTCGATGTACTTTCCTTCATTATCACTATATCGTCATGTGGATCCCCATTATTAATAGCAACGTCTTCTGAGGGTGTGTGGTTAGTATAGAAATTTTGATAATGGAGATGATGTTTGTTAGTGGCTAGATTGTCTTCTAAGGGCGTATGTTTGTTGATTGATTAGGTGGTGAAGGTGCATATAGGGAGACGGATGTTGAAGTTTGGTAAGCGCGATTGAAATCGATGAAGTTATTTCTGGTTACTGTGGCAACATAGTCTTTTGGTAGGGTAAGGATATTTATAGGGATGTGTCCTAATGAACTTGAATCCTATTTGAAATTGGTAGGGTTCATGTGATCTAGTAGTGAAGGAGAAAGTGAGAAAGAGATGAGGGAGAGTCATCGCCTTTAGAACAATGGTCTGGTTCTGAACGATCCACCGACTTCTTTACTGTTGTACTTACATGGATCTAAACTGAAACAAAGAAGGCGGTGAAGATGAAACATAGCAGGAGGTGAGAGTTCAACAAAGGGAAGGGTTTCAATTGGGGTCGGTGGACCTCTGATTCGCAGATTCAGATGAAACCTCTGATTTAGGTGAATTCGATACCGGTGAATGCATGTTTTAGATTATAGCTTCACGATACGGATTCATTGAAACATGAGGAATTTGGATGTAGTTGTCGATGAGGTTTCATCTGGGAGAAAGGGAGTGGAAGGGGTAGCCGACGTGAGGAAAAGAAATATACCCTCTTAACGATCTGTCTTCTTCATGTTGATGATAAGAGAGAGAGAGAGAGAGAGAGAGAGAGAGAGAGAGAGTTTGAATTCCCTTTTTTTATTACTTCAAAAGTAAAAATGCCATTTAATCTAAATTTAACCGGTGAAACCGGGAAAAATGAAATTCAATACCTTTTTTAATAAGTCAATTCTAAGTTTAAGGGCCTATACTACCAAAAAAAATATGTAAGGGACCTTTTAAAACAAAACCGAAAAGTTGATTGGATTACAGTGACATTTATCATATTTCAAAGTGTAAATAATAAATAATTTTAAAATAAGGAATAAAAACATATTAATTGCAGTTTATTATCGTTTATTACGTTTAATACTTTACATTTACAAGCATACGTATTATGTGACTTTAATTTAAAATTTTGATAAAAAAATTTAGAAATCAACATGTTGATAATGTTTTATTTTAAAAATATTAGTAATGACAAATGTCAAAACTTATAAGAGATCGGCATGTGTCAAAATTAATCTTCATCTATTATAGTAGATTTTATTGATAACACTATAAACTTAAATGCATAAATATTGTTCATGTTTTACGGAAAGTTGGGAAATACTTATGACGACCTCCCCCCTTCCCTCTATCTCTTCAACCTCTTCGAACCCCGAAGACGATCTCGATTACTCACAGCAACCGGAATGGCGGACAGCACACGTGATAACTACCCTCCGACGATCTTGACATCTTCAATGGAAGCAAGAGGCGATTTTGTGTCAACGATCTTGACATCTTCGATGGAAGCGGGAGTCGATTTTGTGGGTGTGGATGAAATAGGCAGTAGGGTTTTAAATAAAGTAATCTGCCTAAATTAAAGGGTGGCAGATTTAACTATTTATTTATTAAAATTAAATAATACTTGGCTCATATTAATCCTTACATTCACACAATATTTGTTAATCCATATATATATATATATATATATATATATATATATATATATATATATATATATATATATATATATATATATATATAAATCAAAGATTGAGAGATAGGTGATGTTATGTTTTTTGTTTTTAAAATGTGGCGGTGGCATAACTGTAAATAGATTGGTAACATATTAAATTAACGCCCTTAATAACGATTGTAGGGCTATTGTTGTAATGTTACAAAGATTCATATCAGTTTGCAGGCTACGATATTGTAACGGCCTATAACATTCATTTTTTTCTCGATCAAAATCTCAATTGGAACTTTCACAAAAACCCTCTTTTTCTTTCTTTGTCTCATTTTGCCCTAGTTTTCGTTTATTAGCTATTCAAATTAAGTTTGTAAAATCGGTAAATGTCTTCAGGAGAAAATATAAACGAAGTCACATGTTCGTTAATGGAAATGAAAGGTTAGAATATGAGTGGTTTTTTATTTTATTGATAATGCATGTTTGTATTAGTTAACTGCAGTTTTATGTTGATAATGATGTTTTTTATTTTGATTTAGTAGCTTTTCTTCATCGTCATTTTTATTTGATTTTGATTATTTTCTTGTTTAGAGTTGATCTGTTTTTTGATGATTTTAGTTTGTGTTGGTTTTTTATGTAAGTTGTTGTTCATATTTTCACAGATAATGATTTTAAAAGAAACAATGTTCCAAAGCAGTTCAAAAATCAAAAAAAAAAATATCGAAGGCGGTAGAAGTGTTGTTATTTCCGAAGGTACAATTCAAAAAATCGATCTTAAAAAAACTTATAAAATCATATATGATTAGAACTATAAATAAACATATAACTTAATGTTTAAGGTTTTTGTTGTAATCATAACTTAGTTTGTTATTTTTTCAGTAAATTGAACATAATATTTAGTTATAGGTTTATATCTAGTTCTAATCATAAGTGATTTTATACGTTTGTTTATAATCATTAGTAAATAGTAATGATAAATGTATGTGTTTATAATCATTAGTGACTGTGTGATTTAAAATCATAGTTTATGTAACACCGTAAAATTCAAAACAAATTTTCACATTTTTAAACTCGTTTTACCAAACACATTTAACAACAAAATCCCATTGTATCATAACTTTGGTTCACAAAATATTTCCCAAGATCAAAATACATAAAAATCCATGCGTGTGTACGAATCATGTCGGCGTCTTCCCGCGATCATCATTGGTACCTGAAATACATAACACATAACACTGTAAGCGTAAAGCTTAGTGAGTTCCCCAAAATACCATACATAACACATACTAGCCACTCGAGGCTATAACTCTGTGGGCCCGTGGGCCCGAACTCTGTGGACCCTTTGGTCCTAACTCTATGAACCTTTCGGTTCTAACTATGATATACTCTGATATAAATCACATAGAAACAATGCAGTACAACATATCACATAATAGCATATGATAACTCTGGCACATAACTCTAATTACCACTCCAGGTAAAGTATAGTGAGAAGACTCACCTCAGATGTCCCGGTAAATCACTGACTCGGTAGAAATACGATCTAGCCTCCGCCTAAACACATAAAGTAATATTCTAATAAATATAACTCTCAGAACTAGACTCCACTCTCTCTAGGCACCCTCAGAAGGGTAAAAGACCATTTTACCCCTCCTTTGGCTCAAAGGCCTTCATTGTTGACCAAACCCTAAAAGTCAACCAAAGTCAACGGTCAAACTTTTACCCGACTCGGCGAGTGCACTTGGGCAACTCGGCGATTCCACCTGTGTCCACTTAACTCTTTAGTCCCATTTAACACGTCGAGTCCCTCCCTTTACTCGACGAGTCCCCAGGTAAGAATTGCGGGGCCACCCCAACTCAACTCGTCGAGTCTCAAGAACAACTCGGTGAGTACATGCCATGCACAACTCCATTGGCCTCCTGAGGTCAGATCTGTTCCTCTAATCCATAGATCTGGCCTTCCCAAGCATAATAATCACATAAAGTCCAGACCTTGACACCCATATATCATCTAGATGGTTTCATTTGGTGATTTAGCCCCAAAAATGACATTCTAAGTTCATGACTCCCAAGATAATTCATAAAGCTCCAAGGGTTAAAGTCTCTAGACCTCTTTGAGTCCAGATCCAAAGCATAAACTCGAGAAGGGACCAATTGCTCCACATAATCATCCTCAAAAGAGGTTAGAAAACCCTAACTCTAAGAATCAATACCAAGACTGAAGAAGGTCCGAATAAATACCTCAATTTGTAGTCTCTGGACTCTGAAATCACTAAAATCACACCTCCTTCAGTCTCCTCTTGCTCTTGATCACCTTCTTCTTGCTAAACCAAAGATAGAAAGATCAAATATGGCTTCTCCTTCCTCCCAAACGATCTAGCTCACTTAGGGTGCTCTCAAGGGACTGGTAGCCGCAAGGGGAGGCTAAGAGTGCCCTTAAATAGGCTCCAAACCGAAGGATTAGGGCTTTATTAAACAGCGTGGACTCGCCGAGTCCACTCATGGACTCGTCGAGTCCAAACGCGAACCCGGATGATAATCCGCGACCCTACTCGGCGAGTCTACGCATCAACTAGCCGAGTTCCTTCACAAATTCCAAAAATAAAATATTAGAATAATATACCTGGGAATCCGGATGTTACAATTTAGTTTTTTTATTCATAATTGATGATCATATTTTGGGTTTATGTATTTCTATGTATCAAACGTGAATATGAAGATCTTTTTGGAGAAGTTAAAGAGAAAATTTCGAAAAGAATAAATTTTAAAGGCATTTTTTGTAATCATAATTGATTTTGTGATTTTTTCAGTTTATTGAACATTAGATTTAGTTGTATGTTTATTTTTAGTTATAGTCATAAATGATTTAATATGTTTTGTTTATAATCATTAGTAAATAGTAATGATAAATGTATGTTTTTATAATCATTAGTGACTGTGTGATTTGAAATCATAGTTTATTAGTCATATGCGTTTTTGTTTAGTACTAATTACTAATTATGTTAATTTTTTGTAGTAAATGCTTCTGTTGATGAGAATGAAGTTGAAGATATTTCAGTTAAAAGTTCAAAGGTTAAAAATGATAAGGGTATGTTTTTTTGCAATCATAAGTGATTATGTTTCATGTTTAGCAATTGATTATATATATATTATGTTTTATTTTTTGCAAACACTATATTTCTAATGAAAATTTTAGGTAAAAAAGATACTTTAGAGAGTTCAAGGAAGACACAGTCATCTTCCAATAAAGAAAAGGCCAAGGAGGTTTTGCAAGCACGCTCAAAGAAATCTAAAAAAACAGTTATTGAACAACCAAAAGTGAACCTGAGGGTTAAGGTCAAAAGTGTAAGTAAGAAACGTAAACTATCTGATGAAGATGATTCTTATTTTCAGAGTCGTCCTGGATCTTCAAATAAACCAAAGAGAGAAACTAAAGTTGTGAAGAAAGAGAAAAAAAGTTGTTGTTATAAAAGAATTTCCTTCATTGAAGAACAGATGTTCACCCGGTTCATTGTTGGGTGTTATTCAAGGTTTAAGTAGAGAACAGAAGGATTGTGTTAGGGCTATGGGATTTTGGAGTTTGTTCGGATGAAGATGATTGATGTACCCTTGAAGATTGATTATTATGTTCTTGATCATTTAAATTTTGAAACTTTGAAGGTGGAGTTTGAAAATTGTGAAGTTAGTGTTGATAGTAAGTATGCTTATGAGATGTTAGGATTACCAGGCCATCTGGTGGCTCATTACTTTCAAACATGGATTACATTTTCGAGAATAATGAGGAGAGTTGTATGTTTGAATGGAAGAAACATTATGAAAATATTGATAAATTGAGATTGAAACAGCTAAAGAATGAACTTGTTCAAACTAGTGGAGCGGATAATAACTTTAGAATAAATATTTTGGTTCTTTTTATTAATACATTTTGTGAGTCTACAAGCATGGGAAAATGTAATATGAATCCATTGTATTTACTCAGAAGAGATATTGATTTAAGTAGCATTGACTCATGCGATTTCATTGTCGATTGTTTGGTAAGGACGAAGAAGGTTTACAACCCAGAGAAAGAATCTTCTTTCGTTTATGGACCAGCAGCATACCTTATGGTACGTGAGCTAATTTTCAATATTAAATATTCTTTTTACTTGTAAAAATATCCTTTTTTTATTTTTAAGCGTATATGATTTTATAATCATGTATGATTTATTATATATCAGACAATATAATCATATATAATTTTTTATTTCTCTCAAAGGAACCAACATCTATTATAATTAATGATATATTTTATTTGTATAAATCATATATGATTGTATAATCATTTACGATTATATATTCTAATTTTTGTTTAATTATATATTACAGATCATAATCATATATGATTATTCATATTTATTATGATTAATGATATATTAAACTGTATAAGTAAATCTTTTTAGAAAGTTAACTTATTTGTTATATATGTTTTTTTGTAGTTGGTGTATGTGGATATTTTCAAGTTTCATCATTTGTAAGTCACACGTAAACGTCCAACTATTTTTTATTGGACGTCAGAGAGGATAAGGTTTCTTAAGGATATTTTACAAGAGAATGGAGAATTTGGATGTGAAAGTGTTAATGAACCATATGTTGAAGAAGAATGTCAACAATCCGAGTATAATTAGGAAGAATCTGGTGGTGATGAGGATGGATCTAATGGTGATGAGGATTTGTGTGATGAGGATGAAGAAGATTTTGATGTTAATCAAGTTAGTGTTGTGGAGGTAATTTTATAGTTTTATTCATTTATTATTTTATTAGTGTATTCATTTAAAACTTTTTATGTTTAAGTATTTTATTTCTAAGAATATTTTTTATGTAGGTGTATGAAAATAAAATTTCATATATGTATCAGAAGATGGAGGATTTGAAAAAGGATCTTGTTGTAAAGATAAATGAGAGGATGTTGAAATTTCCTCAAAGTCAAAATTTGAAAATTTGGAAATTATTATTTCCTATTGAAGATTTAAGCATAGAAAGTTTAGATTTCCATTATGTTTCACAACAAAGTAAAGAACTGATATTGACACCTTCTTTTGTTCAAGTTAATGATAAAGATTATGGGAATGATTTTTTTGAATGATGATGAAAATGTTGAAGATGATGATCAAGGGAAATGTTCTGGTGGTCAAGGGGGTGGAAGTGGTGCACATGAGGACAATGTTGGTAAAAATAATGATTTGTTGAATGAGAAAGATGATGAAGATGATGAACAAGGAAATGGAAGTGGATTCAATGAAGAAGAGTCCATGAATTTAAATTATGTTGTTGAAAATGTTACTAAGAGTGTGGGTCTAATTAATAGCCAGGAAGATGTATCTTTTAGTTAGTTCATTTGTGATCCAGTTGTTGAAAGTTTTCTTCAAACTTTCGATCAAGGTAAGCATATTTTATTATTTTATATAGTTTAATCATATATGATTTTTAATTTTTATATTTGAACTTTATAGGTACTAAAAACTTGGTTTATGGTTGTATACATCAGAAACGAGTTGAAGATGATGTGAATGAGAATTTGACTGTTTTTGAGAAAAATGAACTTGATGACAGTAAGTATTTATTTATGTATTTTTTATACATAAAATATACATGAATATGTTGTATAGATGATTCACTTATGATTTTAATAATTTAGGGATTGTAAATTTCGGTGAGGATGATAAAGTTATTGTAGCAAAGAAGGATGGAGAAGTTGAAGATGTTGAAGTTGATTTGGATTTAGGGAAATCAATAGAAGATTTTTCAAATAAAAATAAAGATGGAGGTAATTAGTTTATAATTATTATTTATTCATATATAATTGTGTTTATAATTCTTGTTGATTCATATATGATTTTTATAATTTTTTTGTGTATAAAGTGTTGAAGATGGTTTAGAAATTATACAATTAAATGATTCAAAGGAGACACAATCACTAAAAAAGGACAAAGTGGAAGGGAAAGTTGAGAATTTTCTATTCCAAGTTTTAGTCTTGGATTTAGTCAAGATTCTGAAGGTTTGAAGAAGTCATCTCAAAGTAAAAGTTCTTCTAATCGGATGACAAGGAAAAAGATTAAGGATAGAGTTTATTTGAAGAAACCAAGTGCTAGTCCAGAGTGTGTGAATAGATTTTCAGCCTTCAAGGAAATCCAGGGTAATTTTTTTTAAATATAATTTTTTATTTTTATAATTATAATTTTTTATTTTTAATGACATTTAAATAAATATATGCAGGGATATTGTCTTGCTTATGGAAACAGATTTTATGGGTTTTAGAGCTAATTATGAAAATCTTTATAAAAAAACTATTTGCATTAAAGGGTTCTTGATTCATGGTTTCATATACTAAATCATAAAGAGAAATTCAGAGATGTTGTTAATTCTCCACTTAGATTGTTCATGAATGTTGACACTGTAAGTTTTTATTTTATTCTTTTCTTTTTATATTTATATAATCATTGTATTATATAATCATTTCTGATTTTTTTTTTTATATTTCAGACTTTATCATTTGAGTATCATCATTTGAATGAAACACAGAGTTTTTGCTTCTTCGGTGGATCAAGGTTGCATTATGGAGATCTTTGGGTATCTTTTCCGGTTGATATGATCCCTATTCCCATGGGGGATGTATGCGTGATTGTGCATATGGATTGGTTGATCCGTTTCGATGCCATGATTGATTACTTAGGCTAGCGCGTGGTAGTTCAAACTCCAAGTGGGGGAGAAACGATTATCTATGGAGGGGGCATCATGATGAGATCAGGGTTTTATTCTACACCTAGAGATCGACAATATATTCAGCATGGGTGTGCGGGTTATTTGGCTTATGTGGTGGATATGCGAGTTGGGGATTAGGTTTCAGTTTCAGAGGTCCCGATGGTCAGGGAGTTTATCGATGTATTTCTGGAGGAGTTACCCGGTGTGCCTCCTGAGAGGCTGGTCGAGTTAAGGATCGATCTCATGCCGGTGCGCCCTGATTGCAAAAGCGTTGTACTGTTTGGCATCGCCTGAGATGCAGGAGCTTTCATCTCAGTTGTAGGAGCTGCTACACAAGCAGTTCATCATGTCTCCGTGGAGAGTGCCGATTTTATTCCTCAAGAAGAAGGTGTTGGAATAGTGTCTAAGGCTGCAACTATATTAGGCAAGTATTTGACTCGATTGTGCATGGTCCTTTTGGGTTGCCTTCACCATAGCAACTTGACAAGGTGATTTATTATGAGAGAATAAATATTATTAATATATTATGAGAATAATATAAGGAATAATAATATTATTATTTGATTAATATAAGTCATAAATTAATTAGGAATTAATTTGGTGACATAAAGAGATTAATTAAATAAGAGGGTATAAACTATCAATTGTTTGATAGTTACACTTTGGGCTGTAAATCCTTCATGGATAGGGTTGGACGATTTCTAGGGATTAGGATAAGCCACAAATCGTCCAAGGGCTTATCTTGGAAAGGATTTGGATTGCTTTGAGTAAAAGTTATCCAATTAGGGTTTAAGGGTGAAACCCTAGGTGCCTTACAAGTATAAATAGACCTCATGGGGTGGGGAAATCAACACCTGTGTCTTTGGAAGAACCTTGGCCGATTTTTGTCCTCTCTCCTCTTTCTCAAATCATCCTCCTTGCTAGTTGGTGTTTGTAAGCCATTAGAGGAGTGACATTTGTGACTCTAGAGCTCCAAGAACAAGAAGATCAAACAAGTGTTTCAAGGTAAACTTCTAACTCTGATTTTGTATTGTTCTTATACCTTATTAGCCATTAGAAGTCTTGGATTCAATGCATGTTTAATTAGAGAAACCTAGATCCAAGCATTAGGGTTTGCATGTGCACATAGAATGTTCATATGGCCAAAACCCATTAGTGGTATTAGAGACTAGATTGGTTTCTATTAAATTGATGCATGGTTGTTTGTTTCTTGCTTGCAAAATTCGAATTTTGTGGATCTGAGTGTTGAACTCGATGAGTCCCATAGTGGACTCGGCGAGTCCAGTTGGGTACTCGGCGAGTCCGAGCGTCAGGAAGAGCAAAAATCGGGATTTTTTGATATTTATCTTATGGAAACTTGCCTTTATCATATTAGATCAACCTAAATCCGATTTTTTGATATATATGACTATATGCTTGATCTAATTGAAGATGTTTATCAATTAATAAAATATTTAATTTCCTTATGTGATAATTATTAATTATTTTAATTAAATTGGTAAATTGTTTTGCAAGAAATAATTAAATAAATCAAATATGGATAATTATGTGATTAAATGTTAATTTAGATTATTTGTTATTTGACCCTCTATGTTTTGAAAAGTTTAAAACCTACCCTCAAGTTTTGAAATTTATGTTTTGTGATTAAAAGTTTAATTTGGACAATTTAAATTTCAAACCCGAGAATTTTACAAGTTTAAAAAATTCAACCCTATATTAATATAATATTACAAGATTTATATATATATATATATATATATATATATATATATATATATATATATATATATATAACTAAAATGTTAGTCTTACCGTTAGTAGGTCTCATTCACGAAGCCGGTCTATAAGGTGGGTATAAGGTTGCTGCCTATAAAATGGCGCTTAATGGGTGTACACTCACACCCACCGCTTGCTTGATCGGTGGAGGGTCGTTAGCCGAACGGGTAGGATAGGGAAACCTAATCTCCTCATTAAAAGTATAATATGAAATACAAAGTAACTACATGTTTTTTCGAAATTCCCAATCCTAGTTACTTTAGGAAAAGTGAATTGATGCAAGCCCATGAAATTACACTTTGCACCCTTGCTAAGAAGTTAGTGGAGCATGTATGGTTTACCGGCACACTAATTGGTTCTAAGCGAAGGATGGCAAAGGGTGATTCATTGTTTATCATAGTTCGATGGAGCGTGTGTGGTTTACCGGCACGTCGAATAGGTGATCGTTACAATGAAGGCACCATGTGAATTTGCATGGTAATTCACACCCACTTTGTGATCCTCGGTATCCCAGTCACAAACGAGAGGGGCATATTGAGATTTAAACATGCCATTGAAAAGTTCAATGAATCTCATCCAAACCTAGGAATTCTCAATACATTTAGAACTTAAAGTTATGTTTTCATGGTGGAGAATTAGTGAATCGTCATTCATTTACCTTCAAATTGTTTGCATGTTAGATTACGGCATCCCTTTTCTAATATGTAAATATTGTTGTTGGATCCTAGCCCTAATTTTTCTTATTGGGTGATTATTAGGAATCCAAATTATAATCTATCTTTGTCCTTTCTATTTGTAGATGTCGAACGCGAACAACGTTCCTGCTAGCTCATTCACATTGATGAGCCTTTGCCAAAAGGTGACTTTCGATGGAACGAACTTTAGCGAATGGATAAGATACATTCGCACGATCGCTCGCTACGAGGACAAGGAGTATGTCCTCGATGAGAAGCTCGAGAAGATCAATCCTGAAATCGCTACTCCAGCTGAAATCACCGCTTTTGAAACTCATGAGCTTGATGCAACGAAGGTTCATTGCATCATGATAGCCACTATGAACTCCGAATTCCAAAATTCCTACGAGGACATGTATCTGTACGAAATGCACCAAGACTTGTTGGAGAGATACCACCAAAACGCAAGGCAAGAACGTTACGAGATCTTCACTAACATGATCTCCGCTAAGATGGGTCATGGTGAATCTCTAACCGTGCACCTGCAAAAGATGCAAAGGTATGTCGATCGTCTTCGCAAGTTAAATGTTGACTTTGGCGAAGACTTAGCAATCGACATGGTGCTTCACTCATTACCTCCGTGTTACAACCAATTTAGGATGACCTACCACATGAACAAAGAAGAGGTCACCCTAAGTAAGCTCCAAGGTCTCCTTAAAGTTGCTGAGAGCAATCTCAAGGACAAGTCCGTTGCACCTACTCCCAATCCACCCGCTGCTCCTGTTTTGGCCATTGGGCAAGGAAGAGGCAAGAAGAGGAAGGCTCCGTCTAAGAGCCACCGCAAGGTAAAGTCCCGAGATGGTTCCTCCTCTAGTGGGACAAAAGTTGATCCCGCTAAGCCTACTTCTAACCCAAAGGAGGCAGAGTGCCACCATTGCCATAAAATAGGGCATTGGAAGAGAAGCTGCCCAGAGTACCTGCAAGCTATCAAGGAAGGAAAGATCAAGCCATCTTTCGCAGGTATATATACAATTAAATCTAGTGATTCATCACATGCTATTTCTTGGGTCCTCGATATCGGGTGTGGTTACCACATTTGTTCTGAATTGCAAGGACTAAGAAGAAATAGGGATGTGGAACATGGAAGAATAAATCTAATCATGGGGAACAGAAGATCGTTGCCTGTGACCAAGATTGGAGTGTATTCTTTAGTGCTTAGGAATGGTTTATCTTTAGATTTGAACAATTGTTGCTATTCGCCAAAAATGGCTAGAAACATCATTTCATTTCATGGTTTGTTTAGACAAGGTTTTAGATTTTCTTTTAAAAATGAGAATGGTTCTATTTTGGCTTATCTAAATGGTGTCTTTTATTTTGAAGCAATACCGTGTAATGGAATTTATGAAACTGTTATGATTGTTGATAACTTAGGAAATGATGTTTTATGCATAGATTCTTCCAATAGTATGGATAAGGCATCCTTGTGGCATTGTCGTCTTGGACATGTCAACAAGAAACGCATAGCCCAACTCCAAAAGGATGGAGTGTTGGAGTCATTCGACCTTAGGGAAGATGACACATGCGAGTCTTGTTTACTTGGAAAGATAACTAAGTCACCCTTCGCTGGTACATGCGAAAGGGGTGAGGGTCTATTGGACCTCATACATACCGATGTGTGTGGACCGTTTAGATCTACCACCAAGGATGGAAACCGCTTCTACGTGACTTTTACCGATGACTATAGTAGATATGGGTATATCTACTTAATCAAGCAAAAGTCAGAAACTTTTGAAAAGTTCAAAGAATTCAAGAATGAAGTGGAGAATCAATTGGGTAGGAAAATCAAGATGCT